GACCTTTGCAGTCCAGGGGGGGGCACTTGTACCCCATGGTGGAGCCGTTGTAGTTCGGGTGGGGGCTTGTCCTCCCGTGGGCGAACGCATTGATCTACGTGGGGGGCCGTTGCCGTCGGGAAGGGGGCTTGTAGGTCCCGTTGCCATCGATTGCAAAGGCTTCTAACCGGAATTGGAACTTCCGGGGCCTCAGCCAGGGCCTTTTGCCCCAGCCGGGCCTCGCAAGGTCGCGGGGGCACGGGTGCCGAAAATGTTGTCGAGGCCGCGCGCGCGACGCGAATGGTCCTTCCAGCCGTCGTCGGCTGGAAGCCGAGCGTTGAGGGCGCATTTTGCCGGCAAAAAGGGCCATCCCGCATGGCCTTCGCTGGCGTCTGTCTCGCATTTTTCCTCCAACACTCGCCGGGCTGAACCCTCCAGGCCAGTCAGCCGCCTGCGCACGCAAGCTCGCCGCAGACTCTGAGCGCTGTGTGTAAGGAATCTGCGGCAGCACGCCGCACTGCGGAATCTTACCCAGAAGCGGAAAAGTTCGGCAACCAACTGCGCGTCGGGCAGCTGATGGTCTCGAACATCTCCGACAATAAGAGCAAGTTCTTATCATGACCCAGAACAGCACAGCTCTCCTCGTGGCCTCCGAAGTTCCCCCAATGTGCGTCCAACGCCGAATCCTGGTGGCCAAACGCTCGCTTGTCTCATTGGGCTGTGTGCTCCGAGGGAGCAGGAGGTTCACGCTTCGCGTGGCACGGGTTCCCTGTGGTTCTTACACGCTGGTGTCCTTGGGGGATTGCGGCGTTGTCTGCCGCCTGGTCCACCGTCGGGCAGTTGGCCCCCAGCCTGCGAGGGGCGATTCTCTCGCGCGCCTGGGCAGCCGCACTGTTTGCCACTCGCATGCGCGCGACGTTGGGGAAACGGCCGACCAGATTACAACCAGTTTTCCCCCCTTCCGCCCCCTCCAGCCCCCCCTTTCCACCAAAATAAAATAAACCAACAAAACAAAACGCAGATGTTTTCTTTTTGGGGGGGTAGGACTGGAGAGGGGAACAACAAAAAAGTTGTGATCCTCTGGGGGGATGGCGAGGAGAGCAGGAGGTTGAGGAGGAACACGCCGAAAAACACGAGCATGCGCGCGCCACAAGAGCATTCACAGACGCTCGCGCGAGACGCACGCAAGAGATCAGTGCGAAAGTCGCGCACGCGCACTGTTCTATGCTCCTGCTCCCTAGTTCCTCCTCCTCCTCTCCTTCTCCGTCTCTTCCACTTGGCGGCGCGCACAAGGGTGTGGCGGCTGCTTCTTAGAACGCACCGGCCTGACATCTACAGACAACAGGCCCGCGCCTCTCAAAAAGCAGGGCCGCTTCCAAGAAATCCATCCCCCGCCCCCTCTGCGCACCCTTGAACACAGAAGGACTCCCAAACCCCCCGTTCCCGAGAACGGGGGATTGTGGAGTCGCAGGGGTTCAAAAGCGCGCGCGCGAGGCTTTCGCGCTGAGTTCGTGACTGCTTCTGTGCAATCTCTGCGCGCTGTGCCGTCGTCGTCATCCTCCTCCCTCTCCTCACTACTCCCCATTGGCCCCTTTTCCTCCTCCTCTTCCTCGTCCTCCTCCTCCTCTTCCTCTTCCTCTTCCTCCTCCTCTTCCTCCTCCTCTTCCTCCTCCTCCTCCTCTTCTTCCTCTTCCCCGTCACGATCGCCATCCCGACCTGAACAGCCCGTCTCCGGCCGCGCGGCGCGCCGACGGCGCGCCGCGCTGCTCGCCCGCCCACCCGTGCCTCGCCCCCCCCCCTCTCTCCTCTCTCCTCCTCCTCCTCCTCCTCCTCCTCCTCCTCCTCCTCCTCCTGCTCCTCCTCCTCCTCCTCTTCCTCCTCCTCCTCTTCCTCCTCCTCCTCCTCCTCCTCCTCGGGAGGCCCGCGCGGCGCCTGTGGACGCAGGGCCTGGACGAGCTGCCGCCCGGACTGGTGCGATCTCTCCCCCCCTCTCTCTCTCTCTCTCCCTCGCGCCGCGAGGGAGGCCCGCGCGGCGCTTGCAGGCGCAGGGTCTGGACGAGCTGCCGCCCGGACTGGTGCGATCTCTCTCTCTCTCTCTCTCTCTCTCCCTCTCCCTCTCGCCGCGAGGAAGGCCTTCGCAGCGCTCGTGGACGCAGGGCCTGGGCGAACTGCCGTCCGGACTGGTGCGATCTCTTTCTGTCGCCCTCCCTTTCTCGTCGCGCGTGCCACCTCCCCTGCTGCACGCCGCAGTGGCCCGAGGCAAGCGTGACCTTCCGGGGTGCGGCTCCCGGGGGTCTGCGGCAGGGGTTTGCCGCCGAGCACGGGCCATGGCTGGGGGGACCCCTGCGGCCGCACCAAAGGTCTCAGGGGCAACGATAAGGGGGGATAGGGATCGGGGGGGAAACATCGACCTGGAATCGGCGATGCATCGCCGATAGATCGACGCTAGGCCTCCGATGGTGAATCCGCACGTTCCTGGGCAGGCTGGAGCCATCGGGCCCCCATTGGCGATCTATGGGCGATTGGGGGTCGATGCGTCCCCCCCTGTGCCTATCCCCCCCTATCGTTGCCCCTGAAGGTCACTCCAAGGAAGGGTTGCTCTTGCGCCCGGCCGGCCCGTGCCAGGCCGGCCCTGTCTGTTTGGCGCCTGGCCCGCCGCCTCCCCGCCCGCCCCCTGCCCAGCCTCCCCTCTCCGCCTTGCCTCCTCCTCCCCAGCCTCCCCTCCCCCTCCCCACCTCCCTCCCTCCTCCCCCGCATCCCCGCCTCCCTCCTCCGCATCGAGCGATGGGAATACTATTCTCTCCCTCCTTCCCCGAGGTTGTCCCTGAAGGTCTCCCGCCCCCCCTCCGCGCACTGCTTTTTGCACGCAAGAGTTCCAAACTGGAGGTCCTATGGTTTTCTGCCATCCGATTGTTTCCGGTTTCTCAAAAGGGTGCTCCCGCTGCACTGTGGGCCTTCTTTTCGGATCGGCGCTTTGCCCCCCGTCGTTCAGAAGGGCGCTCTCGCCCCAGCGCGGGCCACTGTTCTGGATCCGAAGCTTGCTTCCTCGTGGTCCTCCCCTTCGTTTTCCCCTCCTCCGCCTTCCCCTGGTCCTCCTGTTCTCCTCCGCCAATTCCACTACGATTCAGGCTGCTGCTGTTCGTCTCGCCACAGCGAGGGACGCGCTTCTGAATCCGAGACTCTCTTTATCGTTACCGCCCCCTCATTTCCCCTCCTCCGCCTTCCCCTGGTCCTCCTGTTCCTCCCGATCCTTCCGCTTTAGTTCCTGCTGTTGCTGCAGCTGCTGCTGTTCGTCCTCGTCGCTTTCCTCCCGCTCACCGTCCTGCTCACCCGCCACCTCTTCCTCCAGTGCACGCAGCTCCATTTTTTCAGATAGCGCATAGCACGAGGTGGTCTCTCCTTGGGAGCCGCAGGTCGGCTACGACACGCGTCCGCGGATAGAGAACAATCAGCGTCGTGCAAGGAGATGGGAGGGAGGGATAGGATGCCAGACGAGTAGCGAGCGCATCCAGCTTGTCCTCCTCCTCTCGCCCGCCTCCCCTCGCCTCCTCCCCCGCCCGCCCCCCCTCTCCCGGCCCCCCCCCGCGCCGGCGCGCGCACGCCCAGAGGGGCGTCGGGGCTGGAGGGCCGCGCCTGGGCCTCCTCCTCCAGGAGCTCGCGCATGGCCTGGTCGGCCGCGTCCTCGGCCTTGCGCCGCTCCTGCAGCGAGGCCTGCCCCGAGCACTCCGACTGCGATAGGATCGCTGCCGTCGCCAACGTCATCTTGATCCTCGTCTCCCTCCCTGTCATCATCGTCGGCATCACCATCACCATCATCGCCGTCATCTCTATCACATCATCATCACTGTCATCATCACCATGATCACCATACTACTCATCAACAGCAGCAGGAGCATCATCCACACTCACACTTATGCCATGCGCCGGAGCGCGTGGGCGAAAGAAGGCAATGCCCGCCAGCTATCGCCGCTTAGCGGGAGTGGTGGCGCTTCGGCGGTCGCATAATCTACAACGTGCCTGGCGGGGGGGGGGGAAGAGGAGGGGAAGGGGGGGAGCGGGGGAAGAAAGCAACAAGTCACAGATGCCCGTCTGGCTCGACGCACTGTTGTGTGTGGCGCTTCACAAAAGCATCCCGTTGCACAGGGTCATGTATGCACTGTAGGAGCAGATCGTGCGAATTGAAACTGGACGAGATCATTCTGTGCAGCTCCGTTGCCCATTCTCTCTTCGGTCGACCACGCTGCGCGGCCATGGCTGGGAGAACAATGTCAGGCTGGAACGTGGCTTGTCTCAGAAAATGGTGGTTCGACGCCCTACCTATTTTTCCTAACAGCGCGAGCTGTTGTCGCAGAAGCTGGGTGCTGTAGGGGGCCAGTTTCACGTGCCAAATTCCGACGCCACGTGTTGGACGCCTTTCCGGTGTAGGGTCCAAGGCCCACATACGAAAAGAGAACCCTGGGCCTGGGCCCTTACAAGGAAAACGAGCACGGGAAGCAAAAGGATAAGCCTGCAACTAGGCTGAGCGTCCATTCCAAATCTCCTCACCTGCACGCTAAACTTAGCCAACCCTCCCCATGTCCTCTACCCATCCCTTCCCTCTCCTCCCATCCGCATCTTCATCGTTCTGCGTATTACTCATACTCATACTTGTTATTTTAACGCGGCTCCTCCTCCTCCTCCCCCTTCTCCTCCTCGTCCTGCTGCTGCTCCTCCTTCTTCTCCTCCTCCTCCTCCTCCTCCTCCTGATCCCCCTTTCTTTATCACCATCATCATCATCGTCGTCATCATCATCAACACATCATCATCATCATCATCATCGTCATCATCATCATCGTCATCATCATCGTCATCGTTGTCGCCATCGCCATCGCCATCGCCATCGTCATCGTCATCGTCATCGTCATCATCAACATCATCATCCCATTGTCACCACCACCGCCACCACCACCATCACTACCCGTCTCTGCCTCAGTCCCTGCCTCTGTCGCCGCGTCCGCCACAGCACCCTTCGCCATCACAACCCTCATCGTGAACCATCCCTCTTCCTCGTCCTCCTCCTCCTCCTCCTCCTCCGCTTGTGAGCTACGAGCCGATGGCAGACATGTCCGCATGACGCTGGTGCCAGTGTGGCTTCCTGGTTCCGTGGCCTCCGCCAGGGAAGGAGGGCGGAGACCAACTCTTATTCGGAGAAGCAAAGCGACAAGTTCTCCTCCTCCTCCTCCTCCTCCTCCTCCTCCTCCGTTATCCCCCCATTATCAGCCTGCCGCCTCTGTGAATGAAATCCGTCGCGCAACTGATCAGGCGGCGCGGCGGGCACCCCGCCAGAGGCGCTCGGGAAAGGCTCCGCTCTCGCCACAGTCGAAGCAAAATTAGCATCCTGCTGGCAGGTATCCCAAGATGTAGAGGGGGTGGGCGGGAGCACGTCGAAGGGATCAGGCTGGAAGACGGGGAGGAGGATGGAGGGAAGGCGGATGGAACGGCAGCGGGGCGGTGAAGGGAAGGGATAAGCGAGTGCAAGGGGGGAAATAGGAAGGGAAGGAGGGAGAAGGGGAGGGAGATGCGCGAATGAGTTGGGGGAAGAGATCGGCGAATAAGTGGGGGAAGGGGGGGGAAGGAGAAGAGGTAGGGGGGGCGGCAAGGGAGGGGCATAGGAAGCGGAAAGGAACGTGGGGCGGTTGAACCAGGGAGCTATAGTCAAAACTGTTGGCAAGGCTGCGCGATAGGGATGCACGCCCCTTGGACGCCCATGCCGAGGCTCCCTTCGGGCGGGGCTGGCTATCGAAAGTGGTTAAGATGAACCGAGGAGGCAAGGATTCAAAAGTACCCTTGGGAAGGTCACCCGTCCTTCTCATCGGTTCCGTCTGCTCGCACATCGCCCCCCGCGATGCGCGATCACCTTCGCGCCGTCGCGCCCTCGCGTCGCTCCCTTGGAGAAGGGCGACCGCTCTGGCCGAAGCCGCGGCGCGCGAAGCGCGGTTGCCCCAGGGCTGGCGAAGCCAGCCTTGTGCAACGAACCCGTCTGGCAGGCTCCGAATCCTAGGGGAAAAGGGGGAGGGGCGGGGGGGCCTCAGGTCTAGCGTGATGTAATTCCCATCGTACTTAAGGGCCACGTCCCACAAAGAATTTCGAACACCCGGAGAAGTACCGAAACGGTGTCTGCCCGACACGCTGCCGAAGTGTCGAACGAGCATCGCCTCCCAAGGCCCGACACGTGAAAGCTCTCCAGTTTCGGCACCCTCTTGGTGCTAGACATTATTTCTGGTGGTTGGGGCTAGAGTAGGTAAGAACATCACAAGCCCAGCGAAGCGAGTCTTGTCCAACGAACCCGTCCAGCAGCCCCCGAAACCCAGGGGAAACGGAGGAGGGGCCGGGGGGGGGAGCCGCAACAGCTGCCGCAGAGGGCGGGGGGAGGGAATGACTGATGGGCCAGTTCTCCACCACCACTACCATGAGTAGGACGGGGGAGAGAGGAGGACGGGGAGGTCCTCCTCCTCTTCCTCCTCCTCCTCCTCCTCCTCTCCCTCCTCCTCCCCCTCCTCCCTCTCCTACCTGTGGCAGTGGTGGTGGAAGGCAGGCCCAGCACAGGACTGCGCGAGGGGGAGCCTTGGGCGGCGCCGCGCCCGCCCTGGCGGCCGGCGGCTGGGCCTGGCGGGCGGGCCGCGTCGGCTGGGACCGCCCCCCTCCCCCCCCCCCCAGAGGAGAGAAGCGGAGGGGGAGGGGGGAGGAGGGGGGAGGGAGAGAAGAGGAGGGGGGAGGGGAGGAGGGGGGGGGGAGGGGAGAAGAGGAGGGGGGAGGAAGAGAGCGGGAGGAGGGGGAGGAGGGAGGAAGAGAGGAGGAGGGGAACCCTCGGGGAGGCGCTCGCGCACCGAGGAGGGGAGGGGGGGGGAGGGAGGGAGAGAGAGGGGGAGGGGAGGAGGGCTGGAGGGTGCGCGCGCACACCCGAGCTCAGCCTTAGCCCGTTCCGTGCAATAGCACGCGACAGTTGCGGAGCAGAGATGCCTGCACCCGGGGATGCGGAATAAGCACTGCGATCTGAAGACAAAATGTGGAGAACAGGTGTTTTAGTGCCGCATCTACTTGTCCAGGTATGTGCTTTTATCCGCATCCCCTTGTTCCGTATGCCCTTGCGTGTCTGTGTGCGTATCCCCTGGTCCAGGACCAGGAGCTCCGCGCGGACCTCCGACAAAAAAGCTCGAGCTAAACAGTGCTTTCCGTGTTCGTTATGTTTATTCGTTTTTTTTTTTGGGGGGGGGGGGCACCTTCCTGTGCCCTGTCTGCCTAATTGAAGCTATGCGTAGCCCGCCTAGCTTTTAGCGGAAGAGGTTCGCTCTCGCCCCGCAGATTAGACATTATGTTTTTTCGTTTTTCCTCGTTCTGTCTATTCGTTCTCCGCCTGTGCTGCAACGCGAGGGTAAAACGAAAACGGTCCGCGAAATCGCCAGAACGCCGTTTATGAAGGGACCCTGGGACACACAAATAAATACACACAAATAAAAGGATTCCCCATATTTTCACATATTTTCGGGCTTTTTGTTACCCCCCAATTCCCATATTTTCAAATATTTCCTGGGGGATCGACGATTCGTTGTGTCTGTGTGTTTTTCCCCCTCCTGAGTCTAGCTCGAACTCTGCCTCCGCACGTCCATGCATGCTCAGCGCTCACACTCGGCGCCTGCCTCACGGGCACCGCCCCCCTCGAAAAGGACACGATCGGCAACTTTTGCTTATCGGCGGTGGACAAACCTCCCTTTAGTAAACCTCCCCTTAGTGAAAACGGCCTGGAACCGAAACCAACGGGCCTGGACCCGCAAAAACGACGGCCGCGACGCCCTCTCGCGGACCGAAAACGGCCAATTCCTTCATCGGCGTGTCAGGGTAGGAGGTCTGTCCAACCCCGAGCTCAGTGTGTCGCGGCGGCTTCGCGTGTCGCTCCGCTCCGCGGGGCGGGAGGCCGAGAGAGGCTCGGACGATCGGTCACTGGAAGCGCGGATGGCTCGTGGGCCCCGGCGACCCCTGGGGGGGCCCAGCATGGCGCACCAGCCTGGGCGGGGAGACTCCTACTCAGAGGGGCGGCACCATACCTGGCTCCGCTCCAACTTTGACGAGAGGGACCAGCCCGCACGCCCGCCACAAGCCCTGTCTTGAGAGCAGCACAAACTACATAGGCATACACTTCCGGGGGACCGCGCGGACCTGCGAAAGTATGCTTGTGCAATTTTTTGGCATTCGATTTCGGGCCGTTGGTCGTAGTCACTATCGGGCTGAGTGAGGTTTTCTCACCTGGGGTCGCTGTCTACATCCATGCTCCACCATTGACAACGCACGGGAAGCGTGCTGGCAAGGCTTCGGACTGGCACTGCAGGTCGCCATCGCGGCGCCCGACGGCGACGGCACCGGCGATGGTATCACTTGGGCTGGGTCGTTGCTGGAGACGATGGTCGAACACGCCCAGCGCAGAGTGGTTAGAGGAAGCAGGGATTGGAGGAGTGAGGGATGGTGGGAGGGAGGTGGAGGAGCAGAGGGGCAGGAAGAGAGAGAGAGGTGACAGAGTAGCAAAGAGGACAGGGAGGCATGGGGAGACTGCGGTGGGAGGGAGGGAGGGATTGAGGCGGGAGGGAGGGAGGTGGAGGAGAGGATGGGGCAGGAGGAGGAAGCCGCCAGAGGAGCAGGGAGCGGAGGCGAGGCCGCCCTTCCCGCGAGGAAGGCTGCGCCCCCGAGAAGGACGGGCAGCGGACGGGGCAGCCCTCGTCTCTCGCCGCCGCCCCGCCCTGGCGGCGCGCGCCAGGGGGGAGGGGGAGGGGGGAAGGCTTCTTGGAAAGAGGCTGCTCCTCAGACGGCGCCGGCCTCACGGCTTCAGGCAACACCCGCGCCGTCTGAGAAGCAGGCGTGCTCCTGAGAAGCCCTCCCCTCCCCCTCTGCTCCCCTCTGCGCGTGGACGACCTCTCTCCTTACGGTCGGCCCTGCAGCCAGAAGTAATTGAAGGGGCCCTGGGACACACAAATAAATACACACAAATAAAAAGATTCCCCATATTTTCATATATTTTCTGGGTTTCTGTCTTCCCCCCCACTTCCCATATTTTCGCAGATTTTCCTGGGGAATCGAGGATTCATTGTGTCTGTGTGTTTTTTCCCCTCCTGATTACGGTCGGCCCTGCAGCCAGAAGTAATGATCAACCAACGCCATCTTCTCAGAAACCTGGGCCAGCTTCCCAGAGGTTTCTTGAAACGAACCTGGCCCAATTTCTGTGGACGACGCTGGAAAGGCCACCGTGCTCAAAACCTGGGGCAGCATTCCGGCAAGCTGGTAAAGGAGCGCCAGCCCGGATTTTCGGGAGGAAGGTTCTGAATCAGATGCTCGACCGTTGGACAGAAGAAGATCCGCCAAGAACATGAGACCCTGTGCGGGCCACAACGCCCCAAAACATGGACCGCTCGAGGGTGCCCTCCCCCAGGATGCACTAGAGCATCCCACAGACACGAGGAACATTATGACACCCTCTCCGAACTGACCTTGACCTTACTCAGTCCGACCGTACCACTCCCCTCGGCCTCCCCCCCTCCGCCTCCGCATCTGCTCGCCCCCTATTTCCACTGCTGCTTGGGAGGAGTCGGGAGCCTTGGGCACCGGGAAGAGCTCGGAGAAGTCGTGCAGGTAGCTGGGCAGCTCCAGGCCTCGGGGCTCGTCGTCCTCCCACTCCTCTTGCCCGACGTAGCCCTTCTTGGGCAGGCCCTGGTGTCCGAGTCCCTGGGAGCGAAAGAACTCGACGACGCAGCGGGAGTGTGCGGCACCCGCATACAGCACGACGACCACGCGGGCGCCCTCCTCGGACTGGGCCACGATGTTGCCGATCGTCAGGATGGCGGCTGCGTCAACCAGCCGGAGCTGGAAGGCGTCGACCAAGATCTTGGCCAAAACTCGTTCCCGGCGCGTCGAGGAGCGAGAGCGGAAGTCGAATGCCCTCAGCTCCTGGAAGGCCGACTCGTAGTCTGGGATGCGAATCGCTCCGAGGTCGTATCTCCTCGAGGAGGACTCGCTCTCCACCCACTTCGCGCTCCGGAGCTCCGCGGGGTCGGAAGTGTCCACGTCATCGTGGATCTCCCGATGGCACTCGCGCAGCCACGCGTCGAAGTAATCTCCCTCCGTGTCCCCCTCCTTCAGAGGAGCAGAAGCGGCACACACACGAACCTTCGAAGGTCCGCGCGGACTTCTTGGATCCGCGCCGCCACGCGAGGCTCGGAACATTTTTGCTCGTGCAACTTTCTCTTCTCGGCTCCTTCGGGTCCTCCAGCAGCTGGTCGACGGAGGCGGCGTACCTGAGCATCGCTCAACCGGTCCTTGTCCCCACTGGAGTGGCCTGGGCCCCGGTGGCCGATTTACCCACCTGGATGGGGACACAGGCCATTCCGTTCGGGTTTCGAGGGACATCACCAATTTGGGTCGTGGGATGGTGGGGATCGAGATGGTGGGACCAATTTTTGGAGGTCCGCGCGGATTTCTTGGATCCGCGACGGACCCCCCCTGCCCAGCGCGCGGAGCGCGCCACGGGCGGAGCTGGAGGCGCCGCCAAGGGGGGCGGCCCAGCGCGGATCCAAGAAATCCGCGCGGAGCGCCAAACGTTTATGTTTATGCCGTTCTTTCTCCTTCGAGGGATGAGATGGTGGGGATCGGGATGGAGATGGGGATAAGGAGGAGGAGGAAGAGGAGGAGGAGGAGGAGGAGGAGGAGGAGGAGGAGGAGGAACGGGGAACAGAGGAGGAGGGAGGAGAAGAAAGAGGAGGAGGCGGAATGAGGAGGAAGGAGGAAGAGGAGGAGGAGGAGGAGAATGAGGAGGATGATGATGATGAGGAGGAGGAGGAGGAAAAGGAGGAGGAGGAGGAGGAGGGGGAGGAGGAGGAGGAGGAGGAGGACACGCACATGGCTGATGGGGTGTTCGATGTCCGCCGTGAGAGAGCACGGCTGACTATGGAGGGCTTGGTGCCTCCTCTTCACTGACCTTGGCCTGCTCTTCGCGCACCAATCTGGCCAGGGGGATTGCGGGGGTCTTAAAAATGATCGGGGAAGACTTAGAACCCTTGGGATCACGACCCTCTTGGACACGAGCGAGTTGAGTAGCCGCTCCTTGGTGGCTCACTCGAGTGCCACAGTCTCCAGTGAGCCCTCGACCCAACCCTTCAGAGTAGGATCCACACTTATGGCAAACCAGAATACTCGTGGGATGATCAAGGTGCTCATAATAAAATAAATCGTGGCCTTTATTATCATGCACGAGGTCTAACAGCTGCTTGCAGTGGCCTGGCATTCCTTGGCCGCCAGCACTGCTCTCTGTTTGGTTGACTTCGTCTGCACCCTACACAGAGTGCACCGATGATACTGCGCAATTAAAGCCCACGCATGAATCCTCCTAGGTACTCTGGGCTCACGAGGGGCCTCATGAGGCACAGGCGGAGGAGGGGGCGGAGGAGGCACGACCAACGACGGCGGCGTCCACGACGTCAGGGCAGAGGCAGCACCCGTGGGGGGGGAGAGGCTCTTCTCTGGGGCGGCCAAAGCTTTGTTCTATCTGGGGGGCAATCGCGGGCCACTCTCCCAGAGCCTGAGCAACGTACTTGAGATATTTCGTAACAAACTTCCTATCTTCGGCAACATTGCACTTCTCATCTTCGCTGGGCTGAACGCCCTTGTGTGCTGCGGCCTTCGCTAAGCGATCCGCAGCGTCATTGCCTTCCGCCATTCGACGGGCCTCGCTGCCTACGGGTAGGGCTTGTGTATCTTGATGGGCTTTGACCTTTTGGAGCCTCGACCCTAAAGGAAAGAGCCCTCGGCCAGCCAAGACTTTAAACCCAGCCCGCAGATTGCGACGGGGGTACTCGGTGCCTTGATGCAGCACTAGTACTCCTTTGTAGTCATAATACATTACTTCAACATTGTTAGACATAAGACTGGCCGCGACTGCATCCAAATGCTCCGCGGCTCCCGACGTTTGTATAAAAAAACATCTGGCCGACTCGGCCACTGAAATGGGCAAACACTTCACCTTTTCTGAGACAAACTACAGCGAAACCAGCAGCGTTGAGCACATAGTGCCCATGATTGGTGCAACTGCCATCTGTGAATGCTTCCCCCTCGCTGAAGGCCTCTTGAGGGGTGATGCCATCTTGAGCACACCAAAACCCCCCAAACTCCAAACCAGATCCAGGAGGAGGAACTCCACGGAACTCAGGGACCAGCTGGAACCCAAAACGTAAAAGGGGGGCCTGGGGATGGGGGCTCTCTTAAACGCTGAAGCTCCGCATCCGAGAAGTGAGTGGCTCTGAGAACTTCAGTCTTCTGGCAGTGCAGTAATCTGTGGCAGAGGTTGTCCGAATGATGGCCGCGCTCGCAGCCGACTGGAACTTCATATCCTGCTGCTTTGGCTCTCTCCATGGCCCAGATACTTTGGGCGAGGAAGGCGGGTATGGTGCCTTTCTGATGTCCGGGAAGGTCTGGCGAGAGAGCCATCCGAGCAGCCGTAACGTCTAACTGAGCGTCCGCGTGGCGGAGCTTGACGGCCGCCTTGGAGGCGAGCTGGCCGTGCCAGTCGTGCTCCATGAGCTTTTGGTGAAGGCGGGGGAATGTCCTGGGAGTGGGTACTCAAGACCTGAGGCAGTCACAAAGGTAAACGGCCCCTGGAATTTCCAACCAATGCGCTTCAGCGACAGCACCGCCGCACTGAGGGGGCCTCTGGAAGAGCCCCACGATTTAGAACCCCCCGGGAGAATGCTTTCAGCCCAAGCTCGCAGCTGTTGCAGACTAACCACGGCCAAGTGCGGACGGGTGTTCGCATCACAAACTAAACGATGCCACATAATGGCGGGACCGAGGGCCGCTTTCCACAAGGGGTCCTGGAGGATGAGCAACGCCAGGCTGCGGCTGCGGGTCGAGCATCTCGGGCCCGCAGCAGCCAGAAACTGCGACCTAGCAGATTCAAGTTGAGTGCCGTTGATGCCAGTGACCTCGACTCCAAAAGTGGCGGCCGCTTCCAGGCCAGTCTTATACAATTTGTGAGTGTTGCCCCCAGCACGTTTAAGCATGCGGACCCTGTGAAGTCTTTTACGCATCTTGTCAAGACGCTCCGTAAGTTTTCGAAACTTTCTCCATCTTCTCTGGGGGCGGCCAGCCCCAGTTTCAACTCCCAGGTTGGGTCCCGAACGATCAGGTTCGGGCCTGCCAGAGGCCCTAGCTTGGTCCTGAGCTGGTCCTGCAACGCTTGGTGAGACGCTAGCACCTGGGACTTCTTGCTGGCAATCTGGCACTTAAACTCGTGGATGATGCAATCCGCCATCGATCTGGCGGCTATGTTCAACTGGCTAACGATGAGGCTGAAACTGCGGCCGTGGCACTGTAGTAGCAAATCATCAATGAACATAGCGAGTCTTATGTAGCTATGGGCCGGTGTCCATATGTCCAAGGGGGCGAGCACATACATCTGCACAAGGTACGTGGCCCAACTGCAGCCAGCAGCAATGCCCCTCCAAGGTTTGCCGACGCTGACCGCACAATCTTGCAAAGAAACGATACGTTCGCTGGCATACTGCGATATAATGATGCGAAGTAAACAACAAGGAAAACCTGACTCAACAGCACGATGCGCTAGACGTGGCCGATCAACATGTTCGTAGTAATTAGATAGATCGTAGAGGACCTGGGCGCTGCATTGTTGATCTTTGGCTGAGCTGTTGAACTCGCATCCCAAGGATTGTTTGTACAACAATTCAACAATCGAGTGGCCAGCCTGGTGAGCTAGATAAGGCCGACGATGGTGGGCTTCCCACTCCCTGGCTGCCGACCTCCTAAGGCGGGCCAACACGCGATAGAGCGCTGGTGGCATGCCAATAGACCTGAACGAGGGCTGGCTGACTGATGTATCATGCTGTTTCTGTTTAATCATAAGCGTTGAGACAATCCCCTGGAGCTGAGTCGGCATGTGACCAACCTTCTCGATCAGAGCGATACATTGGCAGACGATCTCCGCCTGCTCATTATTCAGCATACTGAAGTGCCGCGGATGAAAACCGTCCCAGGTCGAGGCTGTGGCGCGAGGAAAGCTCCGAGCAACTGGCCGAAGTCTCTTGGGGGTAATCGGACCCAGGGCGACACGATCGTCGGTATCAGGAACGAGTTGAGGTGGGTCTCGGGGGAAACTTGCCATATCTTTGCTCGACGATCAGCTTCGACCTGCAATATTTGCTGGGGCCTGCCTGTGTACTGAGACTGGTATTGCACCGATGTCGGGCGCCAGGCCTCTAGCCGTTTGGACCATCTGTGAACCCATCACATTCCCCCGTTCATGTTAGACTGAACCCATTCCCTCCAAGCCCTCCCATCTGCGGCATTCTCCGCCGCCTGCTCCTGGTGCAGGAGCTTGGTGATCTGCTCTAGCAGCTCGTCTAATGCTTGCAGCGCCAACGTCTGATCTAGAACGCCAGCCTGAAAATCAATGAGTAGCAAACCTGCGGCTACTCGTATATACTGACGCCCCTCCTTGAGGGGCACCGCGGTGGAGAACAACTCGGGGCAATCCTCCAGGCTGTCCAGGACTTCTTGGAACTCAAGCAAGTCCCAGTCCTGAATGCAGCGTCTGAATTCCTGAACTCGGTTACACAGCCATCTTAACGGGTCCGTATAGGCCACCCATTTGGCTCTGCCACGAGCCGCTTTGGCCTCCGCGGGAACCTTGAGAACCTGAGGGGGTGAGCCCTGGGGAACTTACTGGGTTTAATAGGGGTGTTGGTCCTCCTACTGATTGTAGCTTCCAAGTCCTGGGCCAGGGTGAAATACACGTGGTCCAGGATCGCAGTCGACTGCTGATCGGAGAGAGGCCGTTGGGCATCTTCGATCAATTGCAATACATAATCTAGGGTCGCGGCAGTCTGGTGCCAACTCACTTCTGGTAATTGCGGGCCCACTGGGATATGGGTGGGCAGCTTCTGGGGCCTATGCAGCGAGGGGATATAAACGTTATCCTGGACAGCAATATCCAACATCACGGGCCTATGAGGGGAGAGGGGGTAGGAGGCCAGGGCACGGGGGTTCTGGAGCCGCGGCGCGAGGCCTTGGCTGGAGACAAAAAAAAGTCGAGAGTCGACTTGGCCTTCTTGGTTCTGTGGGTGGCTGTCGAGGGCGCGAGCGCGGTCATAGTGGACCTGGGCAGAAATTCGGCCTGGGACAACCTGGAGGGGGCCAAAATGAAATCCCCCGCGACCAAAACTGGATGCGCTATGTCATCTTGAAGCTGACCTAGGGTGGCCAAGAGGTTTAAATCGGTCTCCGAGAGACCAGCAGCAGCTTGGAAATACGTTGAACACAAAGCAAAGTTTGGGGTCCCTGGGAGCTCCAGGATCACCCCAGACAAACGAGCGGGCTCACACCCCGAGGGAATCAGCAGAGGTTGGGCCCCCAGGTCCAAGCCATCCCGAATCAAAATCGCGACTCCCGAAATCAGCTCATTGTTGGGGTTCGCTGCAACAGGAGTTATGTAGGCCAGCCGACCTTGAGACGCGCACCGTTGTATCTGGCGTACAATGCTATCGCCTTCGGCTAACTTACACTCCTGGGCACAAGCGATAGTGACTGCGCTGGCCTGCGGTGATTGCAAAAACTTGCGAACGGCAGGCCAGCACGATCCATTGATGGTGGCTAGCTTATAATTCTGGCTACCCTGACGGCGGGACCTCACTTGCGACCACTGCGGCCGCCCTGGCCTTCTTGGCCTCGGGGCCGCCGTCGCCTTGGATCTTGGCCATGCCGTTGGCGACCCGCTCCAGTGCCGCAGCAGCACGCACACGGCCCTGCGACTCGTCCATCGGGGTCGCTTCGGCGGCGTCGGCGAGCGGGGCGTACTCCAGCTCCTTGTCGTCCACTGGCGTCGGTACATGCTGGCCTGGAATGGGCTGGGGCGCTTCTGGCTCATCAGCTCGTTCGCCAACTGCGGGGAAGCCGTCAGGTTCCTGTGCTGATTGAGACCCTTTGCCCTTGCCATCGCCCTTCGCCTGGGTCTCCACATACCTGGTGTGCTGGTGCTGCATGTTGTCGAACAGCTGCGCCAGCTCCGATACTTTAGCTCGTAGTTGTGGTGGGCCCCCCCCTCCCTCGGGCATGCGAGCAGCCAGCATGCCTTGGAGAGTGGTGAGCAAGTCCTCATCCTTGGATGCCTCGTACGCTGCTGCCTGGGTGGCCAGGTTGAGCTGACTCCAGGGACTGCACTTCTTTGGTGTTGATCTCAATCTCCTCGACCAGCTTGCCGTGGTGTTCGCTGGCCTCGACGATGGTGTGCACCAGCTCCGTCGCTTCTTTCTTCTGGGCCGTGAGCATCTGGCGCGCGACCTGCAACTGATTTGACAGCGACTGAGCCTGCTGCTCCAAGCTCTTGGCGTACAGGGCCTGCGCCTTGGCGAACTTGAGCTTGCCCAGCGCTGGCTTGTGCTCCTCTCCGTCTGGTTTCCACTTCTTCCAAAACGTGACCTGTGCTTGGGCCAGGGCCCCGGGATCTTCACTGTGGGTGTCGTCATCCGCGGCGGTGACCTTTCGACCACCTCCGCGTCCCAGACCAGGGGGTAGCTCGGGTCCGCGGGAGCCGTGTCTCCAGCGGCCTGGCTTGGACGGTGGCACTTGCTCGTCATGCCGATCCTCCTGACCTCCTCCGCCTCCCCCTGCTGGTCGATCTGCGTACGAAGCTGTCTCCGAGCGCTGCTTGAATCTATTGCCACACTGGATGCAATGGCGAGCATTAGCAGAACACCAAACCCACCCCTTACAGCCACGCTTCGAGCAAATGACATACTTCCTCTGGGCCGCCGCCATCTCCTGTCTCCTCTGCGCCGCAGCACACACAGGCAATGGGCCCAGCAGGTGGCACTAGTGCGGGACGTGATTGTGCCTCTGCCTGGGGCTGACCAGGCTGGCACTGGGCAAAAGCGAAGGCTTGAGCCCGAACACCCAGGGCCTTTCCTGGATGGCAGTGCTGAGTCCTGCACCTCCCGCGGTGTGCTCAGGACTTGAGCCAGGAGGAGGAGGAGGAGGAGGAGGAGGAGGAGGAGGAGGAGGAGGAGGAGGAGGAGGAGGAGGAGGAGGAGGAGGAGGAGGAGGGGGGAGGGGTTGGTTGGTTGGTTGGTTGGTGAGGCCCCCAGGTGGGCAGGCATGTAGAGGGCCTCGGGCAGGCCTCGACAGCGGAGGGGCCACCTAGCATAGCTGGCTGGCTACCGACGGCGGCCTCCGCAGCACCCTCCCGGGAGGAGGGGGTGCCCCCCCGGTGCGCGGGGGTGAGAAGACTCGCCACCTTGCGCTCCGGAGACGGGCACCCGACTCCACCCAGGGACAAGTGCGAGGAGTAGGAAGTCCTGGGACGGGGACCCAAATGGAACACACCTCGACAGGGACCCCCGCCCGACCCCCAGCCGCTTCATGTCAGCGCAGCACGCAGCTGCGAGACCTCTGGAGGATGGACTGATGGGGAGGGGGTCACCCAGGAAGAAGGGAAATTGCAACCCTGTCTCAGCACGGTCGGGTGGCCCAGAACTCGGTCTCACAACTCTTGATGTGGGCTCCCAGGAAGCTTGCCTCTGCGTAGCCGGCGCCCCCCGGACGCACACGAAGGAGAGCTCGCACGCACGCTTCCCGCGACTCAGGGGGGGATGCGTTCCTCGCCTGCAAGGGGTTCTTACATCCCTGCCGAAGCGGCTGCACCTCGACAGCGAGGACGGGCGGGAGCGACCCTCGCGCCCAGCACAGCCGAGCCCGAACCAACCCACCACGCCATCCTCCCCGGCCCAGCGAAGCCCTGGAAGAATGGAGAGGGGGGGGGAGGGGGGAGGGCGGGAGGGGGAGGGAGCGCCTGGCTATAGCGGAGCGCCCCTCAGGCTCGAGCTTGAGGGGCGCCCAACGCTCAGCCATGCCAGGGACAGCCAGCAGACGCAGCCGCGAGGACCCGGTGGCCGGGCCGGATGCTGCGGGCGCCGCCCCGAGAGCCGCAAGAGCACACAACGTCCCGCCCGGGAGCCGCCGGAGCCCCCCTCGGCGGGTGCCCGGAGAGGCGGCCGGTCCAAAAGTGACCTAACGAGACCGCGGCTGCCCCCGGGCGGCGCCGAGAGCCTCCGTGGTAGCCGACCCGAGCCCGGCGGGGGCCGCCCGGGAAGGTCGGTGTCGGCTCGGGGGCCGCCGGGGCCCTCCCTCGGCGGGCGCCCGGAAGCGGCCAGAGCAGAGGTCTAACGCGGCCGGCAGGAGGGAGGAGGAGGACGGCGAGCACGAAGTGAGAGGGAGAGGGGGAGGGAGAGACGAAGGGAGAAGGGCCCAAGGGAAGCCCGAAAAGGAACCCCGAGAGGTACCACGGGTCGCCGAGGAACGCCCAAAAGCCCGAATGAAGCGCTGAACGCTTCGCCCGCGAAGTGACCACCTCCGGCGGCGCCTGGGCCTCGCCAGAGCACCTTTTGGGCCCGCCAAGGGGCCGCCGCGCAGGGCCCTTCGCGCGACGCCGACGGGGACGGCGACGGCGACGGCGGCGCCAGCCGTCGCCAACGGCGGAGACAACGACAGCAGCAGCAACGGCCGACGGCGGCGGCGGCGGCGGCCGCGGCGCCCGCAGGGGGTCCTCGGCCCAGCCCGGCCCAGCCAAACCCGACCCAGTCCCGCAGAGGACCCGGGGGGAGGGGGGGAGGGAGGGGGAGGCAGAAGGAAGGAGAGAAGAGGAGCGGTCGTCTTCCTGCGTCGGCAGCGGCAGCCACGGGCCCCGGGCGCGGCCGCCCCGCTGGAAAGATACAATCATAGCCCTCGGCTGGGCGGGGAACCTCCCATGCGCCGGGCAAGGCTCCCCGCGAGACGGCCTACGGGTTCCAATCTACCGGCGGCAGGGGCGGGGTCCAGCTCCCCCGGTCCGGCGGCTGCCCGTTGTTGTAGGGCTCCGTCCACGCAAGCACCTTCTGGAGGAGCATCTCTCCCTCTTTGGGGGGCGCGGGGATGTGAATCCAGCCCCCCCTTTGGTGAGCCAGACGTGCATAGACCCCTTCTGCTTGCCGAACTTGATGAGGACCCCCCTCGGCTGCCCACTCTGGAGGATGTGGGGCCACGTGGAGGTGAGGGTGAACACGGGGTTCCCAGCAGGCCAGGTCATCGCCCAGTAGGGCACGACACGGTCTGAGGGGACTGCGCCAGTCGGCAACAGCCGGATCCATCTGTCATACCGCTTCGCGTCTCCGTTGCCCTGCTGTGGACCGGGACCCCCTCCGCCCCCGCTGCCCCCGCCGAGCCGCTCGAACTCCGGGAAGAGTGGATGGCTCGACGCAGCCCCGCTCGGCCCCTCGGCAACGGGCGCAGGGATCTGGGGCGTCCGCGGGGCGCAGACAGTGAGCCAGCAGACGCCGCGCATGGCCTCGAATCCGGAAGGCCCCTGATAGGTGAAGAGGGTGACTCCGACGACTCCGCATTTCCCGCATCCGGGGATTACTGGGAGCTGCCTGCTGCGGCGGGAGCACCCCATGGCCTTCTCCTGCACGGCTCGCGGCCCCACCTGCCGAGGGGGGCGTGCCTGGGGTCCAGGGCTCGGGCGCCACCTTCGGATCTGGCTTCTGCTCCGACCACGCCTCCCAGCACTGCTGGCACCACTGGTACGAGGCGTACTCCCCCTCCCCTGCCTGCATGGGGACGTCCTCCTTGCCGCAGCCCGCGCACCGCTGCGAGGAGGGGTTCCCTGCCGCCGCCGCCGCCGCGCTGCCCCCGACCCCCGGACCTCCTTCCGCTTCCTCATCCTTGGTGCTGGTGCCCACGGCTTCGCTCTCCCTGTAGTCGTAAATCGTGGTTTGCCCTGGTGGCGGTCCGCCCTTGAGCCACCCCTGCATCCATTGCTCCTGCACGTGTGGCTCGAGGGGCTCCCAATGGTTCTTGACGCCCCTCTCGAACAGGGTCCTCTCGCATGGGCCCTGAGGGGCGGAGTTGTGCTCCGCCTTGGCAGCCGCCCTCAGTGATGAGCGGATGACGAGAGAGTGCTCCTTCCAGTAGGCGAGGAGCTTGTCGAACTCGGCCCCCTTGAGCCTCTTCTGCGGTGGCTCCCCCATTGCGGACGCCTGGGGCCCTATGCTCGATGGTGCCGTGTCGTGATCCTGCCGGGCCACCTCCGAGATTGTGCCAGAGATTCCGGGACGGGAGGGGAGAGGAGGGCCAGAGAGGGAGGAGGAGAAGCGGGAGGGGAGGGACCCAGGAGCCGAGTGCCGGGCAGCTGCAAGCCCACCCCGACCTCTGCCTCGGCCGCGCGCCCCGTCCGTAGGGGACGTCGGGGGCGCGAGGAGAGTCGAGTGGGGGGGGGGGAGGAGCGACCCGGGACAGCGGCCCAAGGGCCGCCCCCGGGCCGACAAAGCTCTGGCCCGGCCCACCCAGATCCCGAGCCAGCCCGCCCCTCCAGACGGGAGGGGGGGCAGGGAGGGGAGGAGGACGGCCCGAGGGGAGGGGGAGGGGAGAGAGGGAGGGAGGCGCGGCCCCGCCCGACCCCGCCCAGCCTGGCCCAACGAGGGCCGAGATGGGGGGGACGGGAGGCCCTCCCAGCCCGACCCCACCCCCCCAGCCCGCCCGGCCCACCCCGTCCCGACCCGTCCGGAACAGCCCAGCCCAGCCCTCCCAGTCCTGCGAGAACTGAGACGGAGGAAGGGAGGAGGCGGAGGGAGGGAGGGAGGGAGGGAGGGAGGGAGGGAGGGAGGGAGGGAGGGAGGAGGAGGAGGAGGAGGAAGGAAGGAAGGAAGGAAGTAAAGAAGGAAGGAAGGGAGGAGAAGAGAAGGAGGAGGGAGGAGGAGGAGGAGGAGGAGGAGGAGGAGGAGGAGGAGGAGGAGGAGGATGAGGAGAAGGAGGAGGAGGAGGAGGAGGAGGAGGAGGAGGAGGAGGAGGAATAGGAGGAGGGGGAGAAGGAGGAGGAGGAGGAGGGGGAGGAGGAGGAGAAAGAGGAGGAGGCAGGAGGAAGGAAGGAAGGAAGGAAAGAAGGAAGGGAGGAGAAGAAAAGGAGAGGGAGGAGGAGGAGGAGGAGGGGGAGGAGGAGGAGGAGGAGGAGGAGGAGGAGGAGGAGGAGGAGGACGAGGAGGAGGAGGGAGGAGGAGAGGAGGAGGAGGAGGAGGAGGAGGAGGAGGAGGAGGAGGAGGAGGAGGAGGAGGAGGGGGAGGAGGAGGAGGAGGAGGAGGACGAGGGGGAGGAGGAGGAGGAGGAGGAGGAGGAGGAGATGGGGCTAAGGCTCGCTTCAGCGGGGCGGCGTGCCACTCCAGCGCCGCGTCCGCCAGCCTCTCGCCGGCGCCGCCCCCCGCCAGGCGCAGGCGCTGCGCCACGCTGGCCGTCCAGGTGCGCGGCGGGCCGGGCCCGCGGGCCCGCAGGTACCTCGGGGAGCCAAAGGCCTCTCGGGGGGCCCGCGCGGGCCCCTGGACTCGCACGAGTTCCTCGAGCAGGTGCTGGGTGCCGGGTGCCGGGGGCGGTGCTTCCGGCGGGGGCGGCCCGCCCCTCGCTGCGCCTGGCTGAGGCCAGAGCCCCCGCGATGGGATGTCGCTGTGGCCGGGCCCGCGGGCCGCAGGGGCACGCAAGCGAAGACGTGCACACACACAAAAATTCAGCATTCCCCATCTTTTCCCACATCTTCTGGGTTTTCGTGTTCCCCCCACGGCTCTCATTTTCCCAGGTTCTCTGGGGTGTCGCCGATGCATGGTGTCTGTGGATTCCTTCCCTCTCCTGAACCTTGAGGAGCCCGAAGAAGGAAGCACGGCATATGTAGAAATGTTTGGCGCTCCGCGCGGATATCTTGGATCCGCGCTGGGACCCCCCTCTCCCTGGCGCGCGGAGCGCGCCAGGGGCGGCGCCGGGGGCGCCACCAGGGGGGGGGCCCAGCGCGGATCCAAGGAATCAGCGCGAAGCGTCGAACATTTATGTTTATGCCATTTTTCTTCTTCGACAGAAAATACCGATACCGCTGCGGCAAGTTCGTGTCGTGCCAACTTCGGCGTCGGTTGGTTCCTGACGCTGCGGGGACCGTTCCGCTTCCGACACGTCAGATCGTTCAATATCGACCGGTTCTGCTTGGGGCGCCAAGAAGTACCGATACCGCTACAGCAGGCTCGTGTCGTGCCGACTTCGTCGTCGGTTGGTTCCTGACGTCGCGGGGACCGTTCCGTTCCTGGCGCGTCAGCTCGTTCAGCATTGGCCGATGCTGGGCCGCTGGCGGCGCTCAACGTCGACGACAGTCGACATGACGCGAACCTACCGCGGGTTCGTGTCGTGCCGACCCCAGCGCAGGCTCCTGACACCGCGGAGGATCGTTTAACCTTGAACGATCGGCCGTTTCCGAAGCGCCAGATCGTTCCACATCGACCGATTCTGGGTCGTTGGCGGCGTTCAAAGTTGAACGCCCGCAGCGGGGTCGCCGCGGGTCGACACGACGCGAACCCACCGTACTTTACCTCCATCTTCACCCGGCACTGCGGAAACACGAAACTTAAAGACGAAAACGAACACAGGCGATAAAGTTACAGGTTGTGAGATGACGGAACTTCCAACTTGTTTCTAGAATTCGTCTTCGTTATTCGTAGCTATCGACTACCGCGCGGCCATTCGTTACAATATCGTCATCTTTTCCTCCTCCGAGTGCCTGTCCACTGGTGCCGCCCGCACGGGCACTCGCGACCTTCCCGCGGCCGTGATGTCCAGGTCCCCAGGGCGGCGCAGCAGCTGGCCGGCCTTGGCGAGCCAGACCGTACCAATACCGCTACTGTGAAAACGTGTAGTAAGGACGGGTGGTGAGGACGCAAGACCCTTGGAGGCCGAAGTTGGGATTTTTTGGGCGGCGGGCGACCAACCCCCAAGGGTACCCGAGAGGCTGGCCAGTGGAAGCAGCAGGGGACGGGCCGCAGAGGCAAGGGCACAAGGGGACCCTATGCGCGTCGACTGTACTCCCTGGACCTCTGCTGGAGGGGCATTCTGACTGGAACCTCGAGGAGAATCCCGCCATGGTGACGAGGGCTCTCCGGGACGACGAGCGCTACGGAAATCCTCTCCTCCTCTGAGGCCTGCCGGCGGCGCGCGCACTCGCAGGGCCGGCCAGCGCCCGCCGGCTCGAAGGCGAAGGAGCGGACCCGTGCAAGGGGCCTCAGCTCGTCCGTGAGCCCGAGCAGGGCGACGGCCTCTGGCACCGTGCCGAAGTACAGGGTCAGGAAGAACCTCGGTGGTGCAGGCCCAGCTAGCCTAGACTAATCGCCCCAAAGCACAGGGCATCACCATCACCATCACCATCACCACAACCGTCACTATCATCACCATTACCATCACCACAACCATCACCATCATTATCAGCATCAGCAACAACATCAGTATCATCATCAATATCGTCATCATCATCATGTTCATCATCATCAGCATCCTCTCACCACCACCACCATCATCACCATCATCATCACCACCATCCCAATCACGATCACAATCTTCAGCATCATCCTCCTCATCATCATCAAACATCCTCATCATCATTCATCGTCCTCCTCATGCTCATGCTCATCTTCCTCCTCATCCTCATCCTCACCCTCCTCCTCCTCATCTTCATCATCTTCATCATCTTCATCACCATCACCACCGTCAGCATCACCTCATTATCATCCTCATCATCATCCTCAGCCTCATCCTCCTCCTCCTCCTCATCATCATTATCGTCATCATCATCATCATCATCATCAGCATCACCATCATTATCCTCATCGTCAGCCTCATCTTCAGCATCATCGTCATCATCACCATCATCATCACCATCGCCATCATTATCACCACCACCACCATCATTATTATCCTCATCCTCATTCGCATCACCATCATCCGCATCATCATCATCAGCAGTATCATCATCATTATCATCAGCATCATCATCATCATCATCGTTCGCATCATCCCTTTCCTCCTCATCATCATCGTTATCGTCATCGTCATCACCATCATCATCACCATCATAATCATTATCATCAACATCATCAATATCATCACCATCATCATCGAGAGGATAGCAAATAACATCATCATCATCATCATCATCTTCACCATCAGAACCATCATCACCCTTACCCTTACCACCATCACCGTAATCCGAATCAGAATCGCAAGCATCACCAGGCCAAGCAGAACCTCCGCAGCTGCTCGTAGGTTCCGATGCATCCGGCGAGAAGGGGGGCGAAGTCCGCCTTCATCCAGGGCAACGACATGGGGGGACCGGCTCAGGGGGGGGGGGAACATCGACGTGCAACCAGCGGTACGTCGCCCATGGACGCGTGCGCCTTGAGGGTCACGCACAGAGAGATGAGAGAAGAAGACAACTGTGGGTGTCCCCACCGGCCTGGCCTGAGACATCTTCCACATCGACGTGCAACCAGCGGTACGTCGCCCATGGACCGGCGATGGGGCCTCGATGGCGAAGCCGCGCGCTTCTGGGCGCGGCGGGCCACCGACCCGCACAGCGGCGACGAGTGGGCGAGTCGGGGTCGATGCATCCCCCCTGAGCCTGCCTTTAAGTCGGGCCTGTCCTCCTGCAGGGGCATTTTGGACGAAACGAAAAAGATAATCAACAAATACCTCAAACATATTTATAATACAAGTCGCGTAACAGTTAACGTCACAAATCTCTAGGCCCGACTCGAGGGATTCCCCCGCGCCGATCATCACACACGTTTTAACCCGCAACCTGCCACCGTACAACCAACGAAAGATCACTGACATTGCGAACGAACCGCGTCGCAATCAACATGACAAATTAGTAGGCCCGACTCGAGGGATTACTCCGCACTGGTCACCACATACGTCTTACCCCTCAACCTCCGCCCAATCCCCCTCCGCTTCCCCCCTGCTTGTCCTCCTCCTCCTCCTCCTCCAGCCTCCATCCATCCACCCTCCTGCCATGCAGCCTCCTTCCATCCTCCTCCAGCCTTCATCCATCCACCCTCCATCCAGCCATCCAGCGTCCCCCCATGCAGTATCCCTCCAGCCGCCCTCCACC